GCAGTGGGATACTTGGACTTTGGAGAAGGGGGTTTGTAGGGAGGGTAGGTCCCAGTGACACAGGACCTTCTGTAAGTTTTTCTATTAAGAAACTTCCCAAGAAACTCAGCTTGAAGCCATCGTTTATGTGAATAGTTCACCTGCTCTGGTTCCAGATGACATTGTTAGCTGTCCTCACCACAAGTACCAAAGGCCAGCTCTTCCTAAGCACCCTGGCTCGGGCCCAGATCTCCTGACTCACAGGCCTTTGAACCTCCCAGACACAGAGGAAAGGTATGGAACAGGCACAGCCAGGCTCTGCCCGTGGCCTCTGCCTCTCTGGCCATTGACACATCCCAGCTCTGCCCTTGAGCAGCACCTGCTGGGAAGGGGTGGCCAGATGCCTCTGGCTCAGGGCTGGTGTAGGAGGGGAAAACAGCATACAGTTAGAAATCTTACAGCAAACCTTCAGGACGTTCACACACACGCATCCTGTGCAGGCTCCCACCATTGTGTCAGCTCCAGGGATTCCTTTTTATCTGCTTTCCCGGACAGAGAAAATTGCAGGGTGTGTGGGGCCTTGTATTGCCTGCTCCACAGCCTGGCACACTCAGGCAACAATTCTGGCAAGTCCTCACTAGCTTGTGCAGAAGTCAGCTAGAAGTGCTTCTGAAGGAGAGGTTCTGAGGCAAAAAGAACTCCAAGCAAGAGGGTCGAGCATTTAAAATGGATGAAATCGTGCAAAGAGGCTGCGAGCTGTGCATGCTCCACTGCGGGACAGGCGGTGACTCACCTGGCAGCAGCGAGTCCTGCCACAGGTCAAACATGCCACAGACTAAGAATTTCACACACACACGGTGGAAGCGGGGGTAGGGGTAGGGGGTGGGGGTGATATGAGTGTATCTATCCAGTTTCTCAATTGCATGTTTGCAATTAACTCCTTATACATAACATGGAATTTATTAAATATTAACAGTTGTCTTTGAGGGTTTATATTTCATTGCATAGAAGGTTAGAGATGAAACTTGTGGCTGTGCCCAAGATAAAGGGAGGCTCCCACAGGAAGGGCCTTGGGGAGGAATGCCGCCCAGTCCACCAGGTGGACAGATGGTGCCACACTCCCCCACACAGGGCTCTGGGCCTTTTCCTTGGCTGGCAGAAGCCCTGGCCCCTCTGCTCTGAGCACACCCACTGGTGATGGCTTAAGAAGGACTGGAATTGCACAGTAAATAGAGGCGGGCTGAGGGGCCTCCCTAGACCTCGCCCTGGTGTTGTGCTCTTGGTGGCCTGCTGCCCCCTATTGCTTCTAAATCAACATTCTCCCTGTGCTGAGCAGGGGCAGAGCAGAGAGGAACCAAACCATCAGTCACAAGGTGGTGGTGGAGAGGAGAGGCAAAGGGGTGAGCAAAGAGAAGAGAGAAAAGGGGAGAAGGAGAAACAAAAGAAAAATGTTTATGAGGTATACATGTAAATCAAACTGGAATGATTAAGGCTGTTCTTGAAATCAAAAGAAATCCCCAGGTGTACGGACGAGGAGCCGGCTGATTGAGACAATGGCGGTGCCGCTGGGATGCTCACGATGGCTGGGGGGATGGCTTTGAGGTGGTGGCAGGTGTGCTAGCACGCTGCCACACGGGCTGGGAGAAGACTCAGCCGGCGCCCACGCTGCCTTTCGGTGCTATGGCCTCTTGTTTCAGCGATGAGACAGTGTTAGGTCCTAGTATTTGTAAAGTTCTCCCAACCCCACACTGGCCACATGGAGGTCTGCTCCAATGTCCCCCAGGGTGAGGGGGCAGGGCCTTGTGGCCACAGAGGGATCTGGGCCAGCTGGAATGTGAAGGAAACAGAGCCCAAGGCTCCCAGCCCTCAATCAAAGCCCCTCTCCAAGGCTGTGGAAAAACTTCTGGCATCTCGGAGGAAGGGCAGTGTGTGCCCAAACTCTGTGTATAACGCATTGGAAGCCTGGCTGGCCAGGCCACGGAAAGGCGGCTGCGGGAAGAGCAGCAAACAGCCGTGGTGGCAGGGTTCTAGAAAGGGCTCCTCCCTCCCAACGACGGCTGTGCCTTGAAGGTGGTGCCCTGAGGAGAGCAGGGTCTCTGGAAAGACAATCAGAGGTCCCCCCAGGCCAGTGGTCCCACTTGTCCAGCAGATGCTTCACCCAGGCAGCTGCTGTTAGAAAACATCCCGTCCTCAACTGAGGCCTGCCTGCCACGTCCCACCTGATGTGAGTCTTTGGGCCAAGGGTTTGCCAGATTGTAGATGCTTGGAAGAGAAAAGAAGGGAGGGAGGAAGGAAAGAAAAAAAGAAAGAAGGATTTTGTCAAGAACTGTGGACAGCTGCTTCTCACCCTCACACTCCTCTCAGCCATCTGCCATATGCCAACGGCCTAACTCCTCCTCACCCACAGGATGCCACTCCACTGAGGCTTGGGGAGATGGATGCCTGGGCAGGTTGGAGGTCACAAAGAAGACAGGAAAGGTAACAATCAGGTCCGCCAGGAAGGGACATTTCTTTCAATGTAACAAAACTTCCTTTTTGTTTTGCTTGAGAGTGAGGGACATGGGACTTTTTTAAAATGGCAAGCTTCTCCCAGCCTATTTCTAAAATTGCCATAAAAAACACCAGGAGGCTGGGTGCGGGTGGCTCACGCCTGTGATCCTAGCTCTCTGGGAGGCCGAGGCGGGCGGATTGTTTGAGCTCAGGAGTTCAAGACCGGCCTGAGCAAGAGCGAGACCCCGTCTCTACTAAAATTAGAAAGAAATTAATTGGACAACTAAAAATATATAGAAAAAATTAGCCGGGCATGGTGGCGCATGCCTGTAGTCCCAGCTACTCGGGAGGCTGAGGCAGGAGGATCGCTTGAGCCCAGGAGTTTGAGGTTGCTGTGAGCTAGGATGATGCCACGGCACTCTAGCCCGGGCAAAAGAGTGAGACTCTGTCTCAAAAAAAAAAAAACATCAGGAGATGGCCACTCACAGCAGCGCTGGCCACTTGACCTAATCATTAGCCAAATGCTAGAACTTGAGGGAGATTCCTTTAACTATAAAGTCAGTGGTCAGGCTGAGGCAGGGGAATCGCTTGAGCCCAGGAGTTGGAGGTTACAGTGAGCTATAATGACGCCACTGCACTCTACCCAGGGTGACAGAGTGAGACTCTGTCTCAAAAAAACAAAAAACAAAAAACAAACAAAACAACAGCAAAAACAAAGTCAGTGGTCTCTGTCCACTCACACCATGTGGCAGGACACAGAACAAGGCCATGTCTGTGTTTCCTTTCCCTACTCAGTAACCATACCCCGGGCATCTGCTGGTCCCAGGGCCCCCTGAAGTGACCTGCTTGCTGACTGCCAGGTCCTGTCCTGGACACCATACACATACATGGCCTGCACACCATGAAAGCACCCAAACCTCCAAATCTTTTTTTAGAGATAGGGTCTTGCTCTGTCACTCAGGCTGGAGTGCAGTGGCACAATCATAGCTCGCTGCAGCCTCAAACTCCTGGGCTCAAGGGATCCTCCTTGCCTCTGCCTCCTTAGTAGCTGGGACTACAGGCATGCGCCACCACACCTGGTTAATTTTTTTCATTTTTAAGAGATGGGATCTCACTGTATTGCCCAGGCTGGCCTTGAATTCTTGGCCTCAAGTGATCCTCCCACCTCAGCCTCCTGAGTCACTGGGATTATAGGTGTGAACCACCGTGCCTGGCTCAAACCTCCATATTATCAACCTTAAAGTGGCAAAGGTGGGGGAAGAGGTGGGCTCCAGGCCACAGGATGGTGGTAGGTGGTCCTGGCTGTGCACAGAACAGCTCCAACAGCCAAGCTACTCTGTCCACCACCCAGGATGATGCACTTCCTCCTCCTCCCAAAGAGAGAGGGCAAGGCCAGGGCTAGGACAGGCTCCAGCAGGTAGCATCCCATCCTGTCTTGGCCATTGCAGCCCAGACAGAGCTAGGACTTCCATCCTGAGGCCCTTCTCTTTTCTCCCTGGGCTGACCTAGTCTGAGGCTGAGACTGCCCATCCAGTGACCTCCCTTTCCTCTATGTCCCTTTCCTGTCTGCCTCTCTACTCACTCTACTCTTCTATCTTGTGGGCCACAAACTCAGCCTGTGAAACCAACAGTGTCTTGACTTCATGCCCAGTGCTGCTAAGCTCTGCAGGGCTTGGGTACGCCAGCCTCTTCCAACTGGCTGGAGCAAAGGCACCAGCACCAGACAGCAGGGAAGAGGTGTGTTCCCCCACAGGAGCCACAGGCCACCTTGTCCTTCAGGATGACTTTGGACTCAGTGCCCAGGGCATAGAGCTCAAGTTGTGGGGTACAATTGGGTTTGCTGGGCCTTCCCCATGGGTACCACCTGACTCATCTGCCACTATCTCAGCCAGCTCAGTGGCCTGCTGGGTCCATCACAGCTGACGGAATCCTACCAGGCCTTCCTAGTTCACACTTGTAGGAACTGGGTAGATATGGTCAGCCAGACCTTGGCCCTTCACCCCCTCCTCTGGCTCTGGCTCATCCCACCCTGGTCCTGACACTCACTGTTATACGCAGAGTCCAGAGCTGCACCCAGGCCTCTGACTCCAGAGATTTTTCCACAGCAATGATATCATCTCTCTTCATCTCTTTAAGAGCCTGTGGAGAATTTATAGAGGAGGGCTGGGGAGGAGCTGCATCCCAGGGGGCCCTACCTACACCCTGCCAGCCCATAGCTGTGAGAACTCTGCAGGGGGATGGGGGATGGTGAGAAAGACAAGGGACATTGGCCCTGGCTTCCATTTGCTGGAGACTTCCACCGACTTGCCCTATGTTGAGGGCTCTGTGCACAATGTCCCTCCTCTTCCTCTTTCTCCTCCTATGCTCGTAGGAGAGCACACTGCAGCTCTGTCCACACCACCTGATGAAGACTGGACTCCTCTCACAAGAATTCTTGGGACTTAAATCCACCCTCCCCCGCACCCCTCATACCCCTGCTTGTGCCTCAGGCCTTTCCCAGGAGAGGCCAGGTACAGGCTGTTCATACTCACCCTGCTGGGCATGATCACCAGAATGAAGAAAATTTTTTGCCAAAAGCAGAGACAGCTGTGACATAGAAAGAGGAGAGAGGCATCAGGAAATTGAGCCAGACCCCTCCTAGTCGGGCCATTTGGCATAATGAAGCCAAGCTCAGCTCTGGGGCAGCGACTGCCCAGATTACCTCTGGGCATCAGTAGGTGGGCCCTCTGGCTGGCCTGTGCCCGTGCGCCTGAGCCTGGAATCATCTCATAGACCCAACCTCTGCCAGAGTAGGGCCACAGAGCAGCCACCCACCATGGACCTGGCCACAGGCAGCGCATACCTTCCGTCAGCTTGCCGGCTTGCTCTGCTGCCCCACCGGGGAGGATCTTGGAGAACACACTCTCCCCATCAGCACCTGGCTGGCCAGCAGGAGCCCCTGCAGGCCCTCCAGGCCTGGCTCCAGTCTTCATGCCTAGGGGGAAAGAAACCACCATCGTGAGTCACGCTTGGCCTAGCTCTTCAGGGTCTGAGTGGGAGAGTGGCCATGAGGGAATCTGAACACAGGTACCCTGTGAGGCGGGAAGGTGAGGAGGAGGCTGGGGGAATGGAGCCAGGAAGATAAGAACAGGAAGAGAAGGGGTAGGAGGAAGCAGAAAAAAAGGAGGTTGAGGAAGGTAAAGAATAAGAAAGGGAGGAAAAGGCAGAGCAGGAGGAAAAGACAGGGAGAATAGGGAGGGAAAGGAAGAGAGAGTAAGGAGCCCTGGCCCGGGCCCTGTGCTTACCCATGCTTTCCAGGCTCTCTGCCCAGAGCTACCAGGGTCCAAAGGCCCCTGTGCTGATGACACATTGGCTCATTCTAACCCCAAGCTTGTTTTCTGCTGGAGAGATCTGCAGTCCACTGGGTACCTTCTCAGGATTAGTGAGGGCCAGGAATGTGGGGGAGCTCAGGGTGCAACTGGGTGTAGGGAAAGAACGACCTGGATACTCTGGGCCACAGCTGAGGGCACCAAAGGGTAGGCTCACCTGCAGGTCCTGGTCCTGGTGTTGGCTGTGCCTGAGGAGCCCTCCCCTGTTGGGGTGCTTTGGCCGTCCCTTTAGAGCCGTTTGTCTGCTCTGCCCGTGGCTGCAACAAAGAATCTTTAGCTGAGATTGTGCCCATCGACCCTGCCCATGCCCAATCTGGAACCAAGGGATTGTCCAAGCTCTAGTCATAGCATCTGCCCTGGGTAGGATTCGTGCACGGAAGCCTACTTACCGGTCCTGCTGGCTGAGGGCCTGCAGCTGTTGTGGGGCCTGGCTGAGGCTTCCCTACCGGCTGCTGGCTGGCAGAAGGGGCTGGGCCCCGGGTGGTAGGCTGGCTCTGCTGCTGCAGCCGAGCCTGTGACAGGGCCTGCTGGGGAGGCTGGAGCCCAAGACCTTGCTGCTGCTGCTGCTGCTGTTGCTGCTGCTGTGTCTGTGGCTGGCGCGACGCTGCCCCTGAGGGCATCTGCCTGGATGATGGTGGCTGTGGCTGCTGTGGCCCTGGAGCTGCCTGCCGACCTTGCAGCTGCGGCTGCGCCTGGGGTTCTGGCTTTGGCTGCAGTGCAGCGGGCCCGGAGTGGACCTGCCGGGAGCCCTTCTTGCTGTCAGAGGCATGATGGTATGCTGATGAAACACGGGATGGCTGTGAGTATTCGGCAGAGCTAGGGTACCCAGGCTGACCCTTCTTCGGCATGGCTGGGGCAGGGCTGGGCTGAGGGTGGGGCCGGGCATCATGGCGACCCACGTCCCGAACATGTGGTTTGGCAGCACGCCGTCCCGGCTCCTCGCCAGTGTGGCGGCTTGAGTGCCGCCCGTGGTCACTGTGATGCCGGTGTTCCTTGGCTGAGGCATGGCGGCCTGGGCCACCCTCATCATGAGGCCACAGGCCCTCCTCAGGGGGTTCATCGTAGTCGTGGTAGCTGTGCCTGGCAGGGCCTCGCTTTTGGGAGGAAGAGGAAACTGCATGGCCCCCGTGGTGCCTGAACCGGTCGGAGCGGGCATCCCGGGGCTTATCAAACCAGTCCGTCTCCTCCTGGCCTAGGTGATACGCTTCAGAGACCAAAAACAGAACACCATCAACCCCCAGGTTGGCTGCAGGGGGAGACCTAGCTGAAGCCATGCAAAGAAACCAGAGAGTGGGTGCCATAGCCACAAGCAGATCACTAGGCCCCCAGCCCGCCCTCCCACGACCAGGGACCAGGGCGCAGGTGGTGCAGGCAAGGGCAGCCTGCAGCAAGGCCCACTGGATGAAGTGCCAGGCCAGACCCTGCTGGGACATCTTGGGGCCCAGGGCCCCATGGGCAGGCAGGCCCCCCAGGTGCTGAGTATCCGCAGAAATCACCCCTGGCTGCCATTACCTTCACTGTCGGAAACCACGCAGTGTGAATCATCCAGGATGTACTCCTCACGCTTATATGCGTGGGCCCGAGGTCCGTCCTTGACATGCTCCTGGACGTCAGGCATGGAGTGGCTGGAGCAGAACTGCGGGCAGGTATCCCCAGGAGGGAGGGGACCCCCAGCAGGGCGTGGCCGCCCCAAGGGGCTGACGGGGCTCTCCTCTTCAGAGGCCTGGCTCCGCATGGGGGGCCGTGCCCGGCTATGGGCCATGCTCAGGGATGAGGGCTTGGGGCCCACTTTTTGAAGTCGCTCCACAGCTTCCCGTTCCCGTTCGTACCCCTTGCCTCGGCCACTGAAATCATGGCTAGGCAGCTTCTCTCCGCTGTATACAGATGACACCCGGGACCGGCTGCTCCCACCATACATGCGGTCGTCCTCCTCTACCGTGTCCCGGGTGGATACCCCGTAGTACCTCTGCTGTTCGTACACGTTCTTCTTGAGCCCATAGGTGATTTCATCCTGGAACTTCCTGCCCCGAGAGGCCAGGCTGCTGCTGACTGCAGGTGGGGGGTAGGAGGCCAGGTCTGATTCCACGTCCTTGGCCTCTTCAATAGGCGAGAACTTAGAGATCTTTTGCTCCATGCCCTGCTTCCGGTGCTTGCTGCGTTTTGAGGAGATGGCAGCTGGGGCCAGGCTCTTGGAGGGATGCTTGGGTCCCACGGGCCCTAGACCGTACTTCTCTGCTCGAGCCCCATGTCTATAGTCGCTGTCACTGTAGTAGTGGGCACTAGCTGGTCGGCCATTGCTCTCCATGCTCCGGTGGTGGCCAACCTTCCCACGGGGGTCATATGAGTCCTCCTCAGATTCCTCCTCCCCTCTGCCATAGCAGCAGGGCAGTGTGGATCCCTCAAGGACACCTGGTTCTCCGGGCTCCTTCCCTGGACGCCCACTGCTGCCTGGCCCCAAGGGCTCTAGCCGCTGGCTATCAGGGACAGTAGAGGTGCTGTCCTTGGTCAGCTCACTGATGTCGTCGATCATCACATAGTTCCGAGGAACATTCTGCTCCAGACTAGTGTAGTGTGAGTCAGAGGGGTAGGTGGGGGCTGGGCTCTGGCTCACACTGCTACGGTCACTGGCCCGGGGCAGCTCAGGGGCCTTTCCCTGTTCATAGCTGCTGCTCACTGCTGGGCCACTGTAGCTGGTTTCAGAGGGGGCTGAAGACATGGCCACAACGGGGCTGGTGATCACCTCATAGTTGGTGGGCACCTTCTGCTCCAAGTCAGCTAGAGATGTCTGGCGTGGCTTCTGATGGGGGGCACGGCTGTCAGCTGGGACCGGAAAAAGGGTGCTCTGTGTGGTTGGCATGGGTGTTTGGGCTGCATAGTGGCCTGTGGGATGGAAAGCCGACTGGTTTGGCAGGCCAGGCTCAGCTGGGTAGCTAGTGCCAGGAGGAAAGGCAGGTGCTGGGTATGTGCTGGGGCCAGGGTAGGTGGGTGGTTGGTGGGCTGGGAATCCATTCTGAGTTGGCCCACCACTGCCTGCAGTGTACTGTGGGGCTGGAGGTGGGAACCGGGGCTGCTGGAAGACAGCAGGGCCGGAGGGGGTGACAGCAGCCGCGGCAGTGGCAGGGAAGTCCACATACTGGCCAGAGGGAGTGGTGCAGCCCTGCAGACGCAGCTGGTTGAGCTCACTGTCCGACAGATAGTCACGATGCTCACCAAGACCTCGCAAGGGTGGGTAGTCACGGCCACCCCGGTCTTTGGCCATAGACTCTTTGCGCTGTGTGATACCAAGCTCCAGGTACTTGAGCTTGGCATCAATCTCCTTCTCCTCCTCGTCCAGCTCTGCCTGCTTCTTGCGCAGCTTGGTGGACTCATGCTCCACCAGCCGCAGGTCCCGGTCCAGCTCCCGAAGCAGGCTGGCCTTTGTAGCAGGGACAGCGGTGGGCCCCACCAGCCCTCGCTGCAGCAGGCTGGCTGCATACAGCTGTTGGGGGGCCTGGCCAGCCAGGGGAAGGTGAGCCTCCTCTGGAGGGGGGCTGGGTAGTGTCCGCTTCACCTTGCGGACCAGGCTGTTGGGTGGCAGCGCCGACACCTGAGACAGAGGGAAGGGTGGGCAGCACTGAGACCCAAGGTGTGGGTGACTTGGCGGGGCATGGGGTAGAAGAACCCAGGTCTGGGCTGGGGTGGGAGCTGGGCTCCGCACTGTTGGTGCCCTGATTTACCAGGCAGCCTCAAGGCCTACCCTGCCCACCCACTGGCCTTGGTTTCTTTGCTATGGAGGGAAGGTCTGTGATCATTTAACAGGCCTGCTCCTTCCCAAACTCTGGACAGTGGGAGAGTAGGGAAGGGGCAGAGTTCCTTCTGTACAGGTTTCCAGTACTGGCCTAGCACACATGGCTTTGAGAATCCCTGCACATCTCTAGTGGGCTTCCACCCTCTGAGGTAAGGAGAGAACAGGCGTGGCTGTGGGTTTAAGTCCTAGCAGCTGATCAGGGCAGACGGCAGTGTAGGGCACAGACAGGAGGAGTGGAGTAGAATGGGTTGTGGGCCCACCAGTCTCTCTAGAGGATCCTGGGAAGGGGCATATGCTCACTGTGTGTCAGCTGTCACAGGCTCTGAATCTTTTTCTGCTTCCTGCCCTAATTCCTCTCTAAAATGATATGCTCCTCAGCTGCCTGCTCACCCTCCTTCTCTAGTGCCCTGCACCACCCTCTGCCAAACCCTCTGGGCTGCACTCTTAGCCCGGCCCCCAGCTCCCTCCACACCCCTGTCAACCAGCTGCTCTCTGTGCCCACTAGTGCACCTCTAGATCCTCCCTAGCCCTGTCTCCAGCAGTGTGGCTTCCTGGCCAAGCTTCCCTAAAAGTGCCCACCATGGCATCCTCCTTACCCACCCTCGATGCTCTACATTGCCTGAAGTCCGCATTGCCAGACAGTTCATTCTGGCTGCTCCCTTTATCTGTAGCTCCTAGCCTTCCCAGCATGCCCAACACTTTTGGGTTTCATGAACCACCCAAATCCCCAAAATATACTGGGGACCAACATCAGGATACTTACTTTTTACCTTGCTAGGTAACTGCATAAAAACCTCCCACCTACTTTCCCCATATGTCGTTAAAAAAATGATAGTGTGTCCCAAATTCTCAGAACAAAAGGGTGGGCCTTTAATGGAAAAAATTTAGCTTTTTGAACTCCTCACTCTGTTGTCTGTCTTTTCTTATTTTGGCCACACATCATGAGTGACCATCATGGCCTGGCCCCACATGGCCAGCCCATGGGACCTCTGTGCCTAGAGCCAGGACCACCCTGCCTCTCTGACCTGTGCCTCCTGCCAGCCCAGACTCCTGATCCCATCCCCAACCCTATCTGGCCTGCACCCACCAGGGCTCCAAGCTTATCACCTTCACAGCCCCGCTCTGATGCCCCACTTTTCCCTCTCTGCTTCATACCAAGAAAATGGGCAAATATACTTCATAATGCCTCAGGCTCCTACCTCCTCTCCCAGGTCTCTACCTTCAGACCATTGGCCACATTCTGCCCAGGAAGCTTTCCAAAATATCCATCTTGTCCTATCTCACATGCCTAAAACCTCCAGGGGCTCCCAGAGCCTTCAGAAAAAGCCCACCCTCCTCAGGCCGGCACTCAGTCCTTGGCATCAGGCCCATGCAACCCTCTATCCTCATTTCCACTGAAGCCCATGGCCAGGCCACCTCTCACAGTCCCTGTATATCACTGGCAACTAAAGCCACAGCCATGGGTAAGTTTATGCTCCAGGAGCTCCTATCTAGGAAAGCAGACAGGTATGTAAACAGATTTACTGAGGGCCAGGTAGGGGCCCTGGGGAACACACCGAGGCAGACAGCTAGGCCATGGGGTTTGGACTTCCTGTGGGGCAACGGAAGCCAGGCCAGGGCTGGGAAGTGGGGAGCAGCCCAGCTAAATATATGTTACTCATTTTCTCAGGAAACATCCATAGATGAGGTTTGGAATGGGAGGGGCCCAGACTGGAAGAATGGAACAGGCCTGAAGGGGAGGTGGCAGGGGCTGGACTAGGCATGGAGGGATGAAGGGACAGTGCTTGGGAGAGGCTGAAGTTTTTAGTGGGGTGTCTGGCTGGATGGCTGTGGGGGCCCTGTGTGTCTGGATCTGCCCAGGCTGGCCCTGCCAGGTTGCGGGCTCTATCAGATGTGCATCAAGGAGGGTCTGTTCCTTGGCTCCTTCCCCTGGGCCTCTGGAGTCAAAGGTGACTCCACTCCCACCCCAGGAGAAGCCCCTCCCTGTGGCGGCCCCTCAGGCTAGGCAGAGACCCCTGTCCCACCCTGGACCAGCCCCTGTGCCCATACCTGGCTACCCAGTCCCCCCTGGTGCTGGTAGAGGGAGAACCTCTCTTTGGCAGACTCCTCGGCGGTGGGGCTGAGGGGCTTAGGGTCAGACAAGGACCGCTGCAGGGTCTTCATGGGGCGAGGCAGCGTCTGCTGGCGAAGAGCGCTGTCAGCCGTGAAGTGCTTCTGGGGACTCACGTGAGCCTTGTTCAGCCTCTCACTGGAAGCAAAGGAGGTGTCCAGGAGCCGGTGTGGGGACAGGGGCGAGACTGGTGAGTAGAGGACCTGGGGGGACTTGGGAGGCTGGCGGCTCACAAGCTGTGAAAGAGACTCCGGGGGCAGGTGGGCCTGGTACCCGATCTCCAGGGGATCCGGCTTCTTTTTTTCAAACCTGCCCAGCGGCCCTGGGGTGACGATCTGGATGCCAGGCAGGTAGGGGCTGATGGCAGTTGGCCCTACAAGCTGCGGCCCGACCACACCCTGGGCCTGCCCATCTGGCTCCGTCTGACAGGCCAGGCTCTCCCCACGCCCAGTCTTCTCTGGTGCTGATATGTACCTGACGATCTCCACCTTGGGGTCAGTGGCAGCTGTGATGTGGATGGCTGGAGAGACCCTTGGCAGCTGATCAGGCTCCGTCTGCACGGAGCAGTCACTGATGGTCTGGATGCCCACACTGCTCATGGCCCTCGCAGTGGCGGTGGCAGTGGATGACGAGGCAATGGCATCATGCTTGCTGTCAGAGCCCGAGTCGGAGTGGCGGGAAAGACGGGATCTACGGCGACGCACCGGCTGCTCCCACTCGGCGCTGTCCTCATCGTCCGTCTGCACGCTGCAGTCAGCACTCCGCCGTGCCCGGCGCCGCCGGCTCAGGAAGTAGCGGCTCTCCCCGTCCTCATCGTCTGTCTGCACACTGCTGTCTGCAATCCTCCTGATCACACAGGGCTCAGGCCCCGACTCTGGCTCACAGGCATCCCGCAGGCGTGGCATGGAGTGCCGCTTCTTGATGCCACTGCGGACTGCCTCCCACTGCTCCTCAGTTTGCAGCGACATGTCTGAGGCAGAGCTGGGGAGACCCCGGTGCAGCACAGGCTCACGAGGCTGCCCAGGCCCCTCAGGCCCGGCCACAGCAATGAAGGCTGTATGTGTCAGCGGGGGCCAGTACTGGCCGTTCTGGGCCAGCTCGGTGGCTGCTGGGGGAGGCCCCCGGCTGGGTGCCTCACAAGCCGCAGGGAAGGGCTTCTGCCGCTGCTTCTGCTCCTCTAGCTGCTGCTGCAGCTGCTGCTGTAGCTGCTGGATCTGCTCCAGCTGCAGACGCTGCTGTGCTAGCTGCTCCCGCTGCAGTGCAAACTGAGCCTGGCGTTCCTCTTGCTGCTGCTGCAGCACATGATGCTTGATGGTCTGCAGCTCCTGCAACTCCCGCTGCACTAGCAGCTGCTCTTCCTCACGGTGCCTCTGCAGCTCCACACGCTCCCGCTCTAGCTCCTCTTGCAGCCGCAGCTGTCGCAGCTTCTCCAACTCCACCCGCTCCCGCTCCAGCTGTAGCAGCTGCTCCTGCTGCTTCCGCTGTCTCTCCTCCTGTGATGCTTCCTCCTTCTCAAGCCCTGGCCGGCTGAGGGCCCCACTGCCACCCCCAGGAGCAGCATCTCCTGGTGGCTTCTGGGCAGTTAATGGGGAGGGGGCTGGGGCTCCTGCAGCCTCCTTGACAGCAGCAGGGGTGGTTGTGGAAAGAGACTCTTCCCGTGCAGCCCCTGCTGGCAGCTCTGGCCTTGATGGGCCCCCAGCCCCTGGGGCCTTGGCAGCTGCAGGTTTTCCCAGGTAGACAGGCCCCTCAGCAGGTGGGACACTGGAAGCAACGGGGAATCTACTTGGTGTGTGATATCGATAAGGCCCTGTGGGCCCCAGAGGTACCCGGGGGGCAATCATGGGCACACGTGTCAGGCTGGTAAGTGGCACAGCTGTGACTCCGCCAGACGCATAAGGCCTGTACATGCCACCACGCACCATGGGCCGCAATACTGAGGCAGGCTGGGTGGTGATGGGTAATGTTGCGGCAATTGGGGTGTTGATAGTTGAGTAGATCATGCCATCAGCTGCGCGCACAGTAGCTGTGGATGGCAGCAGCTGTCTGACTGCTGTTCCCTGGCCTGCTGCAGGCCCATACTGGGCCAAGTTCCCAGGACTCGGGTGGCCCTCTGGGAAAGTGGGATTACCAAGGAGTCCAGGTCTGAGGGGAGCCAGACCCTGAGGAGCACTGATCCCAGGCCTGTGCTGAGGCTGGTATTGAACAAGGTCAGGACCACTACCGCCACTGCCATGCCGCCCACCATACTGGTCCATGGAGTTGAGGGCAGCACACATACGGCTGATTTCACGGGCCGTGGTGGCACTGTACTGGGCCAGGCTGGCCTCCTGGAAGCCAACTGCATCTCCCCGCTGACCATACCTGTGGTCTGAATAGATGTTCGACACTGAACTATAACGCCGCATGGGAAGCGGGTGAGTCAAAAGATCTGTAGGATGACGCAGGTCCGTGAATGAGCCATATTGCAAGCCTTGCCCTAGGTAGTGTCCGTCTGCAAAGCCCAGACTGTAGGAATGCTTCAGTGAGCTGAGGTCCACAGCCGAGTCTCGTCCAGGGCCCTGGAAGAGCTGCCCAATCCGGTGGGCGTGGTAGTTGAGGCCAGCCTCAGCCAAATTGGTGTCAGACATGGAAGAGTACAGCCTTCCAGGGAGGCCCTGTAGGTACGGCCTCTGCTCCTCAAGGGGCCCAGGCCCCACTACCCCCTGTGCCCGGTAGGTGGGGGGCTCGGGAGGCTCAGGGTCCCGGGGACCATAGAAGGGGCCACTGACTTGGCCAGGAGAGGCAGCATCTGCCATGCTCTTCTCAGGCATGCTATGGGCAGGGTGGAAGGTGCCAGTGCAGCTACTACCAAAGGGGAACTTGTAGACCATGTCACAGCATGCCAGCTGGCTCTCAGGCCTCATCCCAGTGAGGTCCAGGGCACCCACCGGCTCCTCTGGGAGCAATGTGGTCACAGTGCCTGCTGTGCCCTCTCCCATCTGCACCACCACTGTGTGTGGCTTCCTGGCACCTGGCAGAGCATGTGACCGCAGCTCTGCAGGGGTGGCCCGGTGGGCCTCAGCAGCAGGCTCTGGCACTGGGCCTGGCTTGAGGCCAACACTCTGGGTGGTACCCATCTGAGTGATCAAAACATCCCTTCTGGCCAGAGGTACTACCTGGTTGGGCAGGTTATACCTGGCAAACTTGGCCTCCCTGGGTCTTCCCCGGGGCCCTCCTCGGTATGGGGTTGTCTGGACAGCCTGCTCTACCTGCTTGACCTGGGCCAGGCACACAGGGCTGCCCGCACCCTGGCCAAAGTCGAGGCGGCTCTGGAAGGGGTCTCCATAGACCACAGGCTGCTTTTGCTGAGCCATGAGCACAGACGAGGCCATGGTGATGCTCACGGTGGTGGCGGTGCTAAGGAAGGCATGGGTCTGCTCCTGGGCGTTGAGGTTGATAACCAAGGGCTGCACAGCAGTCGACTGCCGTCCTGGGATTGGATCCAAGGCCAGTCCATACTTCCTCGCTTCCACGGCAAGAGAGGTCAAGTCCATGCCCTGGTCAGTGAGGATGATGGGCGTGGGCTTACCAGCTGTGCGGAGGTCTACGACTGCACTGCCAGGGGGCCTGGGGCCTGGCTCAACCCTAGACGTTCCAGGGACAGAGGAGATCCGGCACAGGGAGATGTTCTCAGCAGGGAGGGCGCCCCAGCCATATAGTGCCAGGGCCCCATCTGCACCTGCACTGGGCACTCGTGGGAAGCCAGATGGCCCAGGTGGCTCTGGGGGCAGCTGAGAGACACTTGGAGGTGTGGTCTGGCTATAACTATGGGTGGTGGGCTGGGTGTCGGTAGGTGAGCACAGCGGGGAGGTGGAGGCACTGGCATGTACCATCCTGGTCTGGCTAGAGGCATCTGATGCTAGCGTGATGACCATAAAGGGAGGCTCCTGCGAGGACTGCTGCCACACCAGGCGAGGCGTGCTGGGTCGGTGTGGTGTTTGTGTGCCCTGGGCTACCATGGGTGTTGGGGTGGAGGCGCCAGGACTTCGTGGCATGTCTGAGGCAGGGGTTGGGCTTGGTGTCTGTGTAGAGAACTCTGCTGTGGCCCTTGGGCCCAGCTTGCCAAGGGAGAATGTGGGACTCTCTGAGGGGGAGGATGGGGAGAGAGGTGGGCTAGAGCCTGCAAAGTAGGAATATGCCCGAGAAGGCTGGGGAGTGGCACCCTCGCTGTCACTCCCACTCAGAGGCTTCTCTCTGGCAGCCCGTCCACCTGCAGCAGGGCCACAGGGGGCCTTGGGTAGCTCCTCAGTTTGGGACCCGTAGTTTGCAGTGGTTGGGGTCTGTCCATAGCTGTGGCCTGTGGAAGATGGTGAAGGACTCCGCTCAGAGCCTGCCGGGGAGGTCGGAGTCATATACCCTCGTGGCAGGCCAGCTGGACCAGGAGCCACAGCTGTGGTGGCTGGAGTCCCAGGGCCATGGGAGAAGGATGTGCCTACCTCCTTGGAGGCCGGGCTGGGGGAGACAGGAGAGCTGTGCAGCTTGAGGGGTTCCTGAGGATCCTTTGCAAAATGCTGAGTGACGCGGACATCAGGAATAACTCGGCCCCCACTGCTGTCTGAGGAGGTGCAGGTGGAGAAGGACACAGGGGCAGCAAGCTGGGTGGGACTGGTACCAGGGGTGAGTGGGCCACCATTTTGCTTCATTGGGTCCATGTATGCACTCTCAGCATTCAGAAACTGCTTCTCCTTCTTCTTTTCCTCAGCAAAAGCCAGGTCCCGTGAGGAGGCCTGCCGCATGCGAACTATGCTCTGTGATGTCTGAAGAATCTCCTCGTACACAGCTGCTTCCAGGCTGGCCGGTGTGCCCTCTGACGCAGGCTGAGCAGTCCGGCCATAGTCAGCGTCTGGGGCACCTTGGTATTCAAAGGAGCCCTGGCCCTGGGGGCCTGTGGGCTGAGAGGGGCCACCAGGGGGCCCCCGGGCCCCTGCGACCTGGCCCTGTTGCCGCTGGAGCAGCTCGGCTTTTCTCATCATCTCCTCATAGGCCTCCTCGGCGCTCTTGAGGGGCCGAACAGAACTGGGAGTGGTGGAGCTGCCCGAAGGCGTCTCAGTCGGTGAATAGAGGGACATGAAGGTGGGCAGGTTGTACTCACTGCCCGACTTGTAGAGCCGGCTAGGGCCACTATCCAGGGCCTCAGCCTCAGAGTCAAGGGAGGGCGTGGGCGAGTACTCAGAGCAGGAGGAGCGGTGTAGCTCCTCCATCTCAGCTGCCTGCCTCAGCTCCTCCGTAGGGGAGGCGTCCTCAATGGGCGACAAGTTACTGGGTGGCGTTTTGGAGCGCTCGCGCCGCCTCTGAGCCCGCAGTTCTTCCTTGTCTCGCCGGGTCTTGCGGGCGGTGCTACGGATGCGCTGCTGCTCCACCTCCCGCATCTTCTCCTGCTCACGCAGCAGCTCCTCTTCCTCCCGCAGCTCCTCCTCCTCTGAGGAGTCCTCGATGGTGGGCAGCAGGGGCCCGTGAGAGCGGTGCCGGGCCTTGCGCTGCTGCTTCGCTTCTTCTAGCCGCTGCCGGCGGCTGGGGCTGCTGTCACTGTCCTCCTCTAGGGAGGACAGGGAGGTGGGAGAGGTGCCTGACGTGTAGCTGGGTGTGGAGGCAGGCAGTGTAGAGGAGTGCTCACCACGGGAGCGGTCCTCAGGGGAGCCTGTCAGGCTCTCCATCTCCAGCTCGGGCTCCCGGTCCAGGCTGGGGTCAGGGCCTTGGCCCAGGTCTAGCTCATGGCCATAGCTGCCCGTGCTGTTGAGCTCAATGGTCTTGAAGCGGCGGAGCCCTCCCTGCAGGGCCCCACTGCCACCAGTGGCCTCTGCTGGACCTTCCTCAGAGAGCAGCTCCTCGTAGCCTGTGGTGGCATTGTGGGGCAGGCGCCTCTTGGGCAGTGCTCCTGGTTCTTGGCTAGGCTCAGGCCTGGGCCTAGGGCCACCCTTCTGGGTGCCATGTTTGGCCAGGCCACGCCCGGAGGTGGCAGTGTCATCCTCCTCCAGGTTGTCTTCCTCAGCACTCATCTCTAGGATCTGCCGTCGCATGAACTCCTCATCAGTCAGTTCTGCTGCCCGGGCTGGGGGCTGGGGTGGAAGAGGGGACAGGCCGCCCTCACTGCTGTCTTCCACATAGTCATGCCTCAGCTGGCTGCCAAAGTCATCTGAGGACTCGGCTGTGTCCCGCTGCTCCTTCCGGCGCCCCCAATTGAGAGAGTCTTCCTCTTCCTCCAGGATATCCTCCAGCTCCTCCTCAGAGTCAAAGGCCTCAGGTGTGACGGACAAGGAGTGCGGCCGCCGCGTCTGCTCCTCACCAGTGCTGCTGCACGGTGGCTTGCTCCGCTCACCACTGGGGGCCAGGATTGGCGCCTCCAGCAAAGGCTGCATGCTACTCCCCACCTTGTGGATCTCTGAGGGGCTGGGAGGGTGTGGCCCCGTCACCCCTGCACTGTCCAGCTGTTCCACCTCATGCTGCACAACTCCTGTGATCTCACTCTGGGAGCTGGAGACGCCGTCGGAGGAATAGCCTGTGTCGCTGAGGCTCTGTGGGCTCCGAGACACGTCCTGAGAGTAAGGCTTGCCCACTAATTCCTGCAGCAGGGTGAGAAGCAGACACTGACTTCCCTGGCAGACAGCTCGTGGTGGGAGCCCAGCCTTCCCTGTTAATCCCAGGGCCCCGAGGCAGGGCCCACCACCCACCCTACCTCTCTGGCCTCGAATAACTTGCAGGTTCCTGGCAAGCCCCAAGCAGCCCTAGGTCTTCCAAGAGAAACTTTACTAGATCAAAGAGTATCAAAACCCAGCAAAGCATCCAGCAAGGTGCCAGACACAGGACCAATCTCAAACTCTCAGTCTCCAAGCCTGCCAGAACCTCATCTAGGCTTTCCTTCTGCTGGGGCATCCTTGCCCTCTTCTGTGGCCCAAAGGGGCCTATCCCAGGCCTACATCCTCAGCCCCCCAGGGAAGCAAGCCTTTCCACAGACTGTCCCATCTGAAAGCTAGGGTCCCTGAGAAATGAATGGGACTGACCTCTGACTCCCCACCCTTGGGAGCTTCTGGAACAGCCTTGACAACAGGGGTGGCAGGTTCAGACTTCTTCCCCCCACTCTTTACTTTAGGAGTCCCAGGGGGTGGGGTAGCCTCTGGAGGTGGCTTCGGCATGGGCTCAGCTTTAGCAGGGACTCCTGTCTTCTTTTCCTGGGCACTGCTTGGGGTCTTGCTGGGTTCAGAGGCCTTGAGGGGCTTGGCCTGGGGGCTGCCCTTGGTAGGCAGAGGGCTGGCCTTGGTGGGTAGGGGGCTGGCCTTGGCAGGTAAGGGGCCTGATGGCTGGCCCATCCCCTGTGGGTCTTTCTGCTTCAGAGGGGCTGTTCCAGCTGCACGGTGAGGGGCCCCTGCAGGGGACTGCTGTGAGGTGGGCAGAGGCATGGGGGTCGGCTCTCCCAGACCGCCCTCCAGCAGCCGCTTAGTTTGGCAGTTCAGACAGAGCCACTCTGTTTTCTGCAAGGAAATAGGAGAAGGGGTTGATGAAAATCACAGATACTATAGTACTCAAAGAATATTTCCATGATGATTTCTGTAACCTTAGAGAGAAGAAAGTCTTTCAAAGAATGACATCAAAGGCATAAGTAGTAAAAGACTGATCGACTTATTGCCTCCAAATGGTAAACTTCCCTATCCTTAAGGTGGACATATACAAAGTCAAAATGCAAATAAACCAAAAAGAAAGGTACCTCCCTTAACCTATAGATAACTTTTCACATGGCCAGAAAAGGGGGAAAACCACGGGGCATGGGAGGGTCTGGTCCCAAGCACAAGGGGAAGCTGCGGTCTTGACCTCAGGAAGCGATCAGCCCCTAGTGGGCTGGTATGGAGTCTGGTAGTTGAGAGCCCCTGCAGAATAGGTTGGCATCCAGATATGCACTGCCCTTCCCCTGCTGCCTAGCTCTCAGGTCTGACACCATCCTTTCCCACACCTTTCCCAAGTAAGGGCTGGGTTGGGCAGGGTGCAGATGCCAGGGCCAGGGGAGGCTTGCCTGGGAGAAGCCCTGTTTGGTGAGGGGACAGGGGCTGAGCAGTCCTTCCTGCTCACACCCCCAGCCCAGGTCACCTTTTCTAAGGCCTTTTCCTGCCCCCAGGGCTCTGGACTGTTCCTCTGATGGGGCCTGTGTGTGGTGGCCCTTGGGCCAGGGGCCCTGCTCCTTCCAGAGTTGGGCTGAAATCAAATTCTTGACCATCAGTCCACTGCTCTCAGGGTCATCCACTCTGTTTCAGGCCCAGGGCTGGCGGCTAAAGACAGTCATGACTAAGACAGACAGACAAACTGACAGACAGGGATTGACATGCAGCCTTCCTGGAGCCCACAGCCCCAAACAGGTCATTACAAGTATGACACGGGTATCAATGGTGAAGCCCCCAGAACACCAGAAGCCAAATCCAAGTCCCCCAGCCCTAGCTGCCTATACAGCGTTGGGGTTTGGGTACTTTGAGCCCCGAGTGGGTGCTTTCTGCAGTAGGTCTGAGGCTGATGGGGGCATGTCTCCCAGGAGCCTCCTCCAGAGTTAGTCCTCCTCCTTGGCAGGATTTGAGGCCCTGCCCTAGTCCATGCAGTGGGGTGGGGAATGAGGGTTACAGTGCAGGGCAGAGCAGGGCCCCACCAATACCTGTGCTTGATCTCAACCCATGAGTGCAGAGCCTTGGCACACCTTCCTTCCCGCTGCTATTCATCCTGGGTGCCCAGACACACAGGTTCCCACTAGCAGCTCTACCACTGGGATGGGCCATTATAAGAATCACCAAGTCACAGAGCCAGGGGACATGAAAAGGAGGTAACCCTTGGCAGCCCCAGGTGGGCTAACAGCCTCAGCACCCTCACCTCACTCATTGCTTCTGGGCCCAAGGCAGACCCTAGCCCACCTGGTAGAGCCTTGGAAATCTGGTATCCCGAGAGTGCCTGTCCTCAGCCTGGCATCCTCAGGCCAACATGGCAAATAATATGTCAGTGATTCTGGTTTTCTGCTCACAGAGCCATGCTCCACATCTCTGCTCTGGGCCTCAGCAGAGACCAGGTTGGACAAGTGGCAGGACCTTGGTGTGTGTTGGGGGATAGGCTTGCTCCACAAGCTTGATTCTCAGTGTCTTGAGACTGCTTCCCTGATACTGGAGCTTCTGCTCTTCCCTGAGGCCCAACGCCATGCACAGGTCCCAGGCAGACGGATGGGGCAGTGCAGCCTAGCTGTGGAGGGGACCTTTAAGAAGCCCGACATGTACTCATCCTGTTCCCTGCAGGGCCCAGCCCTAGTACCACTTCTGATTCCCTTGAACTTTACCTGATGCTCATGTGTCCTCCACACAGACCCCTATGAGGCAACAAGTACTGGCCACTGGCTGGACCTTAGGCTCACTTGGCTTGGCAGGGGCCACCCTGAGAGGTGCCTAGGGAGAACACTGGACAGGTTGAGACCAGGCCCTAGATGGACAGGGTACGGGAGAACATAGGGCCTGATCCAGAAATCCTAGCCCACGTGCTCCCAGCATCACCTGGGGACACAATGAAAATCCCCCTATGTAAGGGAGGACTGTGAGATGGCAAAAAGACCCTGGAGAGATGGCAGGGTTGTAGGCAGAGGCCAAGAGAACATTCTGGAAATGAGCAAACAGCCCCACCCCAGCCCTAGGGGGGTTAGGCATCATGGGGTTAGGATCTAGGCCCAGACAGCAGGCTGGCTTAAGACAATGCTGCCCTGACTCCACTCTGGGGCCCTGTGCATATCCATCCCAGGTTAGCCCTCTCAAAGTTTCGTCATTGGCCCTGGCCCACCTTGGTGGCTTGGCAAACCCCTGACCCCACCTCTAGCCTACAGGCCCCTTCCCGGATGCAACAGTCTAAATGAAGCAAAGGCACCTTGGAAGGGTGGTCTTGACCCAATTCCAAGTGCTCACAGCCAACCCCTACAGAGGCCTGCTTACCTGAGCCCAGAGGCCCAGTCCTCAGCAGAGTATGTTACCTGTAGTCACATTCTCCCTGGGGCTTTGCTCCTTCACATGCTTATTCATGGAGGCAGCCAGGTTGCAGGTTGCCTGGCAGGCCCTCTTGCGCCTGGCTTTGCTATAGTAGGCAGTGAGGAAGGGAGGGCAGGCAGAGGAGGTATGTGAAGCAAGAGCTAAAAATAAATAGTTGGCCTGGCTGCTGGAGGCCCTTCCCAAGCCTTCTGGGTTGGGACACAGTTGCTGGGGTCCCAATTCTTTTATTCACTCTATTCTCACCTCCCCCAACCCCGATGTGCCCCCTAGGAACTCCCACCCCTGATCTTTCATTCCTTTGTTCCTACACTCTCTTGTTCATTCATTCATTCCCTCACTTCAGTGTTTATTCTCTCATTTATTCATTCACTTGCACATTCTCTGTCATTCTCTGCCTCACCCAGCCCAAGCCAGCCTATCCTGGGGTAAGTGCTGCCTGCTTGCCCCTCTGCCGGGCCTCTTTGGCAAGTAGGCAGGGGATGGACGATGGGAGGCTCTGATGACCACTTCTGCCTCGCCTCCCTCTGGCCAGTTCCTTTCCAGGGCAGGAAGGCACAAATCCCCCACAGACAATCATTACCTAAAGGTGGAAGACGCAGGTGTGCATGCCATTAGATGGAGCTCGGTGGTTTAGGGTGAGGAAGGGGAAGTGAGTTGACTGAGAGGTTCAGTGGGGTGCCCTACAGGCAGGTGAGACCCACTGCCTTCTGGGACCACTGGCCAGTGTGCCTTATGGGTGACCAGGGCAGCCTAATGAGGCTGAGCTGGATGCTGGACATTCTCCCTTAACTGTCTGTCATTGTCTGAATGAGCCTGCAGTCCACACGGTCTCTTTATTTGTGGAACTGGCTTGTGAGCCAGTCTGGCTATGGTGATATCATTCCAATCGATACCCTATGGCCAGCTGCCTGGCCCTACATGCTCTTGGCCCTGACAGCCAGACCAGGGGCCAGTGAATGAGAACTCTAGAGAAAAGGATGCCCAGAGATAAAGGGCCCAAGACTTGGACACTGGTCCACAGGCGTGGCCATCACTGGTGTTGCCTTTCCTCTCCTGAGTCTGCGACCCTACCCTACCCTATCCCTGGCTGTGTCTAAGCTCCTCCTTTCTGGGCTTCTGCCTCCCATTGAAGGAATCCTCCCTGGTGTCTCCAGTATGTGCCCTTGTGGCTGAGCTGCGCTGCCTTCATGCCCCAGCACCAAATGTGTTCATTCCCTGTGGGGCATCCCTTATGACACCAAGAGCTTGCACTAGTCATAGGGTCCATTCACACCCAGACAGTCAGTGGCTTGTAGAGACTCTTCTTTCCTCACACAGAGACTCTCCTTTAGGACACCTGTGTTCCTGGCTCGAGAGCTGACTGTGTCAGGCCTTGCATAAGCATCTGAGCTGCAGCATCTCACCTGGTTCTCACAGAAACCTAAGAGGGAGTACATGGGAGGTGACAGAGCTCCCTGAGATCACTACCCCCAGAGGCAGCCTGAGGCAGGTCGGGAGCAGAGGTAGCTGCTGTCTGATGCCCCTGCCGCAGCTTCTGCCCCGATAAGCCAAGTCCAGCCTCACATATCCATGTGCCAGGCCCTTTGCCCAGGGAGGCTCGACTTCTCAAGGGCACAGCTGGAATGTTGGCAATTATAATGAGATAAGAAACTGCTAATGTTACTGTAACAATTCCAATTCCACTGATTTCTTCACAAACTCTATTTTGAACTAAAAGTCAATTAAAAATTAAGCCAGAGGGTACTATTATCCTTCAAAAAGATAAATAGGTTAAAAAAATTGGAATCGACAACTGTTAATTATGAAATGACTCACTAAATAGCACTATGGTTATTTCTTTCAGAGGAAGTTTCAAATGGAAAAGGGATCCAGTTTTACTGCCTCCTCTATTGTATGCTCTGGATTCCCTATCCAGAAAGAAGGAAAAAGATTTTTACAGCTCAGAGATGTTGAGGAAAATTTCCAACCTATTGGGGAAAACTCCTAACCTGTTGGCCCCGATGGTTGGCTCTGGCCTCAGGTGGCGCCCCAGGAGGTCTAATAGGCCCGTGGGGAGCTGTGAGTGGGTCCCTCCCTCCTGCAGGCCCCCAGTGTGCATGCAGATACTGGTCCCTCGGCCTACACTGTACACAGACACAGCATAGTCACTCGGAGCCTGGCAGGCTGGCCTTGGCCAAGTAAGGTGTGGGGAGAGACAGCCACAGCAGACCTACCCCTAGGACCTAGAGAAGGACCTACGGGCCCTGCCACCTCACTCCCAAGGCAGGTGTCTCAGGCACCTGAAAAATTAGAAGCCTCTAACCAAGAACACACAAAGTAGGTCACAGGGAAGCACAACATTGCTCAGAACACCAAGTGGCCGTTTGCTGAGGTGAGATCAAAGATAGCCATGGCCTGGTTGGGGGTCTTGGTGAAGAAAAGCAATGCTGCGGGGAGGGATGGGGACCACATCAAGCACCAGCTCCTCCCGCTCCCCACCAGCCCCTTGCAAGACCCAAAGCAGGTGATGCCTCAAGAAGGTTTTGGTCATTGCATGGGTAAACAAAGGACAAGGAAGAGAGGACTAAGGCTGTGGCTGTGGGAGGGAGAGCAGAGGCCAAATTCTTGTGACAGCGGGGAGGCAGAGCTGGCAGGGCTTGGTCCATGGGTAGATGCAGAGGGGAGAGAAGAGGAGTTAAGGATGACCCTGGGCTGCTAGCCTGCATCTCTGGTGGTCGATGGTGGTGTGGTGCAGGAACCAGGGGAAGGAGCATCATGGCTTCCTGTCCACACTTTTCTTAGAGCAGCCCTGGGAAATCTGGGGACAGTAGCATTGATAGGCAGAGCCATGAGGAGAAAGGGGTTAGAGAGGCTTGCCACCCATTGACTGCTATCAGGAGCTGCAGGCAGGGAAGCAGAAGGCCTGGGTTGGGGAAGAGATAGGACCAGGATGCCCATCAGCTTTGCTTTCTGGCCCATGGGACCTATCAGACCCTGCAGAGACAAGGATAGTCCTGGCCAAGGAGGTGGTAGTGGGGCAGGACATAGAGACAGCAGGCCATGGTGGGGTTGGGGAAAGGGAAACACTGGCCATGGAGAGACAGAAGTTCTGGGGTCCAGGAAAGCCAGACCAAGCAGCTAATGAGAGACCTAGATAAGAATCCAGATGTCCCATCTACAGTCAGCATGTGACTGAAACACTGCTGTTTGGGTCAAATCAGCACTTCCTGTGGCCTGCCCCCGGGGCTGCCAAAAGGAGTTGTCAGGAATGTTTATGCTCCTAGAGAGAGACAGTTTCTTCCTTCCCTCTATGCACATTCTGCTTAATGAGGAAATGTGGGCTGGAAGGCCTCTTGGGACAAGAGTCCTCCAGGCCAGGCCAACTCAGGAGTCCAATGGGGCTCACAGTCCCTCAGTGTCAGAGTGCCCCACTAGCCTGGCAGTGAGCTTATGCCTAGAGATCTCTGGGCAAAGCAGCCAGCTGGGGTTTCCTGGTCTTATGGTGACTTATCCCTGGTCCTCTGGTAACCCCTTGGTGCATCCCCCAACCCAGCTAGCTAGGCAAACTGTCCTCCAGTGAGCCACTGGACCTAGAGGTTGGAGAGGTGGCAGTGTGGGGCCTGGAGAACAACATGGGTGTCACGTGAGGAGGTCACTCGTCTTGCTCAGAGCTGCCGCTCCCTGCACATTGGAAAGCATGGCCTTTGGTAGCCAAAGCAGTCTTCCTAGTCACACAGGGCTCCCATAGGAGCTTCCATGGAGGCCCAGCCCAAGGGAAGTCAGAACGAGGTGCCACAGCGACCATGGCAACACCATGCTCTCCTCTCTTGTCCTATCCTGGCCAGTGGTGGTTTGTACTCCACACACAGCCGTCAGCCCAACATCAGCCATGCATGACCCAGCCCAAGAGCCCAAAGGGCTCAGGTAGCTGCCTGTGTGCAGGAGGCAGGGGCCTTGGCTTGAATGTCTCCTGACATGACATAGCTGGGAAACACATTCATCTGTCAAGATGAGCTAATCGCAGACCCTGAGGGCACTCTAAGGAAGGAGACACAGCTATGCCCAAGGCCACCACGTGGGGTTCACATGGGTGGACCTGGGTAGTGGAGAGTGGGTAAGGGGGTAGAAGGAGGAGCAGAAGCAGACTCCAAGCCTAGGAAGTCTAGAAGGGTACTTCACCCTTCTGAGCCTTCTAGGCTGGGCTACAAGCTTCAGGAGAACACAGGGTCTAACACTAGACCTCTTGCTCCCTTCCACCTGGCTCTGCACAGTGCCCAGTGCCCTTATCTGGAGCAGGGACTACAGGGAGACTGGCCCCAGCTCTCCCTCGAACTTTTATATGGGTAAGAGGAGTATCTCTGGTCATCCCCACAAACAGCCCCAAGGAGAGCCCAGGCTCAGGTCCACATATTTTCTAGGAGGGGAAAATATGTAGACCAAGGGCTGTGGCTTTGACAAGTAGACATCAACACTCATGACCTCAGAAGGGAGGATGGAGGGTGGATACCAGCTGGCTGGACTACAGCCTGGGCAGTGGGACATGGCCTGCCCTACTGTGACAAAGCCTCCTAACCCACCCTGGACATGGGGCACAGCCCTCTGTCTCATGACCCTTCAACTCTTCAATCTGAGAATCACAGATCAAGGGCAAGGTGGGACCTCAGGTTCTCCCTACCTGAGCAGGGGAGGTTGGTTTCTTTCATCAGGGCCATGTCCATGGTAGCTGAAAATGGGGAGGCCATCTCAGGGCCTCTTGAGCCTGGCTGCCTCTGGAATTAGCCTCAGAGCACTAGTCAACTGGTCAGAGGCAGTAGGCACAATTGCCCCTACCCACTGTGCCCGTTAGTTCTCCCAGTGGAAGGACTAGGGCCTGAAGTAGGGACAGGAAAGGGAGCACAACCCCTCTGCAGCATCAGCTGTGTAGGGGCAGCTCTGTGACTGCCGTAAACCCAATACTCTGCAGCCCTTTCTGGTTCCCATGCCCCTCATTACCCCAGGTATTGGCACCTCATCAAGGCTCAAGGGAGCAGGCTTAGTCTAGCTCTCTTACCTCCACCAGGTGGGGTGTTGGGTTGAAGCCACACAGGTTGCACACCTGGAGCTTGCAGGTGGTGCAGGTGTTATAGTTGGCTGGGCCCTTGCTGCCCACGTTGAGCTCAGCTTGGCACAGTGGGCAGGTAGCCCTTTCCTTCGGCATGGTCTTTGGCTTGGCAGTAGCCTTGGATGCTGCCTGATGTTCTGCTCTGCCATGTTTAGGACTGATTGTCCCCCCAGTTTTCGGCAGGGCTCCAGGCCCTGATCCAAGACCTGTTCTAGCCCCAGGCTCAGTTTTGGCTCCAGGTGCTGGCCCAGGCCTGGGCCCTGAGCCTGGGGGTCTTGGGCCAGCCTCTTTGCTGGCATCACTGAAGACGATCTTGGGTGGCCCCTTGCTGGGGGCAGGCTGGCCTTGAGGTTCAGCCTCGGGCTGCACAGACATGAGCGTGCTCGCCTGTGTCAGCAGTGATGCGCCGAGGCCGAAGAGCTTACCAGTGAGGCCCTCCTGGGTCTGCTCGGCAGCACCAACCCCAGAGGGCACTGCAGTGGCACTTTTGGCCAGGGCCTCTCCTGCAGGTGGCCTGGGCTCAGCTGTGGAAGGCTTGGAGGGGAGAGGGGGCTGAGGAGACACCCTCCCCACCTCCGGAGGGGCAGCTGCTTGGGCAGGCCCTGGCACTGAGGTGGCCCTGGCTGTCTCAGCCTGGCGGGGGCCAGGCTGTGGTCCCACTGGACCCTGAGATCTGTCTTGCTCTGGCTTCCCCAGAGGCTGTTTGGCTGGGGAGTGGGCAGGAGACAGGGCTGGGGAGTGCAGCTGCTGCTGGCTCTTGGAGCGAGGCGCAGTGGTCATGTCCATTCCCAGAGCCCTCTGCATCTGACAGTTCAGACAGAGCCACTCCTTCACCTGAAGAGAGAAGCAAAATAGTCAGCAGGGTGGTCAGTGCTCATGGCCCAGGCCAGTGCAGGCCACATAGCAGCCAGGGCTGACTCCTAGCATAGGCAGGAACATCAAGCCCTGCTCAGGTGTTTCTAGGCTGCCAGGGGGCAGGGGTGAAGGACAGGTGGCATTCCTCTGCCCTCTAGGAGCTGCCAGGCATGTAGGGCAGTGCAGAGGCAGTCCCACACTCTCCTGCCCACCCCCAACCATCAACTCATGGCCTGCCAGATGCTCCTGCTTGAGAGTCCTCCCCCTTGAGAGTACTCCCCAGCATCCAATGGCTATACCTCAGGGTCTATGTACATCATGCCATCTTCACATCCCCCTCACCATTCTGTGCTGCTGTCCTCCCAGATGGATGACCCCAATAGCCTTCAACTGGTCATGCTCCTTCCCCTGCTTCCCATTTCAGGCCATTTTCACACAGCAGCCAGAGTGATCTTTTAAACGTAAATCAGGAGGCCCCAGAGCAGTGCCTACGCGCAATCTCAAGAATGAAAAATCTTGAGCACAAAATAAGTAATTGCAAAGTAATGCAATGTAAGTGACTGATGTAAGTAGAATGAAATACGCTCTTTTTTATTCTTAAGGAAGACATTTTTAAAGAAAATGGGATAATTCATGCCTCCGGAACAAACAAGACGCATACTATTCATGTGATAAACATGTAGTTTCTCTCTGTCATGAGCCCGGTGCAGGGATGGGCATGTGACCTGGCAAACGGGGCCAATTAGAGCTCTCCGTGATATTAGGTAAATGAACAGCAGGGAGAGGGTCTTTTTTCTTTTCTTTTTGGATTACTAGTCAGCAGGATGTAGCCTTGGAGTGGTCACCAGCCTTCTGTCCCAAAATGCAGACAGGTACTAGGAATGAAGTCAACAGATGGTAAGAATTGAAGTCAAGAAAAGGAAAAAAGGAGCATATCTGATGACTTCATTGAATTCCCTGGATTTAGCTATGCTTTAAGTCTACCCTTGGACTTCTGGTTACATGAGCCAATATTTTTTTCTCCAAAAAGCCCACAAGTAAATCAGAGCATATCACTTATAGGCTTAAACCCCTCGAAGTGGATCCCTATCACACTATGGGAACTCCTTACCACGGCCAAATGATCCACCCCAGCCCACCCCTCTCTCTGGCCACTTTTCCCGCCATCTCCCATTGGCTATCTCACCCCAGACACCCTGGCCTTCTGTTCCACTCAGCGGTCCTCTGAGCTCATGTCTGCAAGGGCCTTTGCATTCACCGTTCTCTCTGCCCCTCGATCCATCTGGCAGTGCAGGTCTCAGATCGGGTATCACTTCCCCACCAGGGCCTCCGCCCATCCACAGTCTAACACCCCTCAGCTTACATTCTTCACAGATCTTATGCTTTCCCACAGTGTATGCTAACTTGTTTACTGGGTGTTTCTTGTCCCCCAACCACCCTGTTGACAGGGTGTTCTCAGGGCCGTGCACAATGTGTGGCACAGAGCAGGGCTTATCCCAGAGAGGCTCGCTTGTGGGATGAATCCTGACAACTTAGTATTGCAGGGCACAACTCCCACAAGGAGGCGCATGAGATTTTGGGCCTCCTCATCGTCGAGCAGAGCCAAGGCTGGACACCAAGGCTGTTCCCCTGTCTATGGTTGCACCCAGAGGCTGTGAATGTACCCTGGTGGGCCAGTTATCACCAGAGAAAGGTCCAGTTTCATCCCTGGGGCAGAAGGCCCCTTTTGCTAACCCTCAGGGTGCCTCCAGCCCTGCTCTCTGTCTTGAGGCCCCAGGGCAGCACTGCTGCTACAGGCTGACTTGCCAGTTGGGGAGCCTGGGCTCAGGTGTCTTGCCCCAGCAATCCAAGTACAGCATCCAAGAAGGGAGAGAACACTTCACATTTGTGGGCACCCCTTTGTGCCAAGCACCACATAGGGCATGTTCATAGGTATTCTCTCATTTTGTCCTCACACTAGAGAAAACTAAGATTTGAGATGTTTCAGCGACATGTTCTTGTGGTTACCTGGCAAGGAAGTGTTGCTGCTGGCAAGACTGGCCCTAACAGCCCTGCCCAGTGCCTGATCCACAGCCTGGAGCCTAGTGCCTTCTGCAGCCCCGCCTCTTCCGAAGAACACTCAGCTTCATGCAAGCCAAGTCAGGGGTCTGGAAGTCACCCCTGAAAACACTGGCCAAGCACCCCCAAAGACCAAGCCCAGCTCTAGAAACTCTAATAACAGTTGTGCCAAAGCACTGAGGTGTGAAGCCATCTCTTCAGCAGGGAACTGTTAACCCACTCAGATGCTTTTTAAGATCCAGTGCAGCTTTTTCTGTTTGGGCAGAGAAAGCCACAGTTTCAGTTCCTGGGACCTAGTCTAAAGACCGCTTTAGAAAGGTCCTTCTTGGGCCAGGCGTGGTAGCTCACGCCTGTAATCCTAGCACTCTGGGAGGCTGAGGCGGGCCATTTGAGCTCAGGAGTTCGAGACCAGCCTGAACAAGAGCGAGACCCCATCTCTACTAGAAAGAAATTATCTGGACAACTAAAACTATATATATAAAAAATTAGCCAGGCATGGGTGGCACATGCCTGTAGTCCCAGCTACTTGGGAGGCTGAGGCAGGAGGATCGCTTGAGCCCAGGAGTTTGAGGTTGCTTTGCTGTGAGCTAGGCTGATGCCATGGTACTCCAGCCCAGGCAACAGAGTGAGACTCTGTCTCAAAAAAAAAAGAAAGGTCCTTCTTGGCAGGGAGGGGCTCACTCCCATCAAAGTGGAAGTTCCCAAGGCCAGGCCATTTCTATTCATCCTGAGAGGGACCCTGGGAAGGGATTAGCCGCCTAAGAGGAGGCCCAGCCTCTGGCCCAGGCTGGCAACCACAAACTCAGTTCCTGTGGTGGACACGCAACCCACACCCAAGATCCCATCTCTATCATCACCTGTGGGCTGCAGCATGCCCTGAGGTGAGACTTCCTGGGAAGCAGGATCTGAGGCGGTGAGGATCCTTATCCTGGGGCTTTGGGGTAACCTTCCCTTGGGTTCTGGATAGGGCTGAACAAAGGCACATGCTAAAACTCCTGCACTCACTACCAGAACTTTCTTTTCTCCAGCCCCCGTCACACAGGCTGTGTCACAGGCATCCCACTTAAAATAGAACCTCTCTGAGAAAGGATGAAACACCCCTCAGTGACTCATCGCCCAGATGGGCACAGCTATTTCTATCCAGCCTCTTTCAGACGGTGAGGAGCCTTCACCATGCCCTCCCCACAGCTCCTCCCAGGCTCGGGTCCAGCATGCAGGTCTCCCAAGGAGGACATGGCTGAGGGAGCTCTCTGAACCCAGCAAGACTTCCCTCTCGGCCGGGCACGGTGGCTCACGCCTGTAATCCTAGCACTCTGGGAGGCCGAGGTGGGCGGATTGTTTGAGCTCAGGAGTTCGAAACAAGCCTGAGCAAGAGCAAGACCCTGTCTGTACTAAAAATAGAAAATAAATTAATCGGTCAACTAAAAATATATAGAAAAAAATTAGCCGGGCATGGTGGCGCAAGCCTGTAGTCCCAGCTACTCGGGAGGCTGAGGCAGGAGGATTGCTTGAGCCCAGGAGTGTGAGGTTGCTGTGAGCTAGGCTGACGCCATGGCACTCACTCTAGCCCAGGCAAAAGAGTGAGACTCTGTCTCAAAAAAAAAAAAAAAAACTTCCCTCTCTTTGCCTCCCCCACAGATCCCCAGGAGTTTGCTGGGAGGGGCACATCTTCAGCCTCTTCCTCCCTACTCCAAGGTCCCTACCCCCATGCAGGGGGATGGAGGCTGTCCACTGCACAGGGAAAGAGACGATGGCTGTGCACCCCCAGCCCACCTGCCAGGCTGGATGGACGTGGACAGTCCTGCGGCAGACTCCCTTGGCCTTGGGACGGGCAGCAGTTATACCCTTCCTTACCTGTACACTGTGATGCCTCCTTGTCAGGAGGCTGAGCCCTGAAGGTTCCCTGTGGTTCCTAGGCACCCTCCAAGCTGGCTGCCCATTACAATGAGAGGGACTGGCCTTTTATCACTGTGACAGGAAACCTCTCTTAGGGTCTTGCTGTCCACGAACCTAACCTGGCACATGGCCAGGAGATGGGCAGGCTACCAACCACAAGACTCATGTCCCAGAAGCCAGAGGTGGACTGGGTGGACATCCCAGGGCTACCCTAAGGTGGATAGCTCTGCCAGGTACCCGCTTTGATCAAGCTGACCCTTGCCAGCAAGGAAGCCTATGCTGCCATCTCCAAGGGCTGGCAGGGACCTTCATGGAAGCCCATGCACCCTGGCCAGTGGGGGCTTGGGTCCCAGTAAGGATGGGAAGCTCAGTGTGGCATGCAGGGTCAAGAAGTGATTTGGGAGGTGGAGGAAGCAGAAGCTACAGGTAAATGGCTTCATAGGGAGGCATTGCTCATGCTTCCGGGGGCCTGCTGGGGATCTGGAAAGGCAAGGCCTGTGAGCTCTGTGACTCTGAGAGGATTATCTCCCTGAGAAGAGTCTTTCCCAGCTGCTCATACGGTTCAATGTGAAGAAGGGCAGCTAAGGCAGCACTGTCCATCAAGGATCCAGAGGCCTGGGGACCAGGCTGGGGCCCTATGGACCACAGCTGAATGGGTAGACATGATCTGTCTGCAATGGCCACTCCCTGCTGCTCCCTCCACTGGGCTCTGGTGCAAGGAGTGCAATGAGGGCAGTTCTGGGAAGAGCTTCTACATCTTTCCTGCAGGCACACTGGTCACACTAAGACCTATCACCCTGTGTCTCAGCCCCAGACAGTGGGATCCAGCCTTGCTTGCCATATCTGGCCCCAGAGACTGCTCCTGGGGTGCAGCCTGCTTCACTGTCACCCCCATGGCTGTCAGGAAGCTTTGAGGGCCCCCAGCAGTAACACATTCTCATCCCACTCCCCCCTCGACCCCACCAGCAAGGAAGAAGGGGGGTTGCAGACATCACTTAGCCTCTTTCCTGTGGAGTGCAGTGGCC